TGGCAGGAAAAGAGCGCCTTCAGAAGTTCTTAGGCCACCTGAACTCGCAACACCTCATAATCAAATTTGTTATGGAAACGGACGGTGTTAAACGCTTGCCTTTCCTGAATGTTTTGGTCACTAGGAAGACAGAATTAGAAACATTCGGGTTTAGACGTCTTGAGAGACGTACTTCTAAACCCGAATGTTTCTAGTTCTAGGTCTAGTGTTCGTTCTAGTGATAGTGCTAGTGTTAGTTCTAGATTTAGTTGTTATTCAGCACTAGGTTGAGGTATATTTTTATTGAGTTAAAAGTAGAACCAAATATTAACTCTATTGTTAGCTTACTGTCTATCGTGGAAATCCCACCTAGACAATAGAGTTAATAAAGCTTGTGTCGCCTTCGGCCAGTGCCGGAGGGCTGTCGGGAGGACTTGGGGTCTGTCTTCCAAGATAGCCCTGTGGATCTACACCGCCGTTGTTCGACCACTGCTAACTTACGGTGCGGTGGTATGGTGGACTAGAACTTCTAAGTCTACCGCCACCACTGCACTTAATAGAATACAGAGACTCGCGTGTCTGTATGTTACAGGTGCGCTGCGATCAACCCCCACAGCGGCCATGGAAATCATGTTAAATTTACCACTACTCAACCTATATATCCAGGAAGTGGCGTTGGTAACCATTAAACGACTACAATCAGTAGGAACTATGAAGGATGAGGACGCTGGCAGCAGTTCAACACTCTGGAGGGAAGCAGTGTTAGACACACCCCTACTCGAGTGTAAGACTGATCACAGACCAGCAAAATATGTTTTCTCAAGGAAGTACCTCACCCACGTCAGTCCCACAGTTGTAGATGTACATAGAACTTTAAAGATCTACACTGATGGTTCAAAAGGACGAAATGGTGCAGGCCCGGGGGTATTCTCTCACGATCCCCTGATTCGCCTCTCAGAACCTTTAGGGTCCAGCACCACCGTCATACAAGCGGAACTAACTGCTATTAAACTTGCTGCTGACTGCATTGTTGAATCCAACAAGCGGGGTAAATGTTTTACTATTTTTACAGGCAGTAAACAATCTCTTTTAGCTTTAAGCAGAGTTATTATAACGTCTGCAGTAGTTATGGATTGTCACAAAGCACTGGAGGAGACCGCGAAATCCAATTCTGTCAGAATCCAGTGGATTAAAGGGCATTCCGGCTCCAAGGGTAACAACCACGCGGACAGGCTAGCAAACGTGCTGCCGGTAGAGCGCCCTGTGCACCCGAGCCGATAATTACCCCCTCCTTAGCCACTCATATCGAGTTAATAAAGCACATTACCCACAAAAGAATTTTTAAACGGGTGGGACCGTACTCTGGCCTGTCATCTCGCTAAGGAATTGTTAAAATATCCTTCAGCCGTAACAGCCCAGTTCTTCGTAGGGCTCGGTAAAAGTGCCCTTCGCACTGCCACAAGTCTCATCACGGGACACTGTAAAGTAAATAAGCACCTTCAAAACATGAAGCTTGCTGACTCTCCTCTCTGTCGAGCCTGTGAACAGGATGACGAGACTGTTAAACACATCTTGTGTGATTGCCCCTCTCTGACCGACCTCAGAATGAGGACCTTCGGGGAGGAATGGCCAACCACAGATGACATCAGGAATGCATCTCTAGGAGCTGTCCTAGCCTTTGGTAAATCCTTAGGCTGGTGGATGTGACCAGAGTGTGTAATGGGAGGATGCACAAGGGGCCCAATGGGGCCTAAGTGTGGCATGCGGTTTTGCATGCACTCCCCAATCCATACAGACATACAAGTAGAACCAACACTAAACCTAGAACTAGAAACGATTCGGGTTTAGCCATCCGTCTCTTACGACGCTAAACCCAAATGTATATAGTTCTAGGCGTAGTGTTAGTTCGACCTAGAACTAGAAAAATTTGGGTTTAACCGTCTTGAGAGACGCACGACTAAACCCGAATGTTTCCACTTCTAGGTCTATTGTTAGTTCTAGTAATAGTGCTTCTAGTTCTAGTTATTGTTCAGTGCTAAGTTGTTGTACATTTATTATCTTTATTTTATTTTCTTATTGTGTAACTAAATGGTTTAATAACGAAAAAAAAATTGCTTTTGATTATTTATTCTAGAAAGTTGTAATATCGCTCAAGAAATCTTGTGCAAGTTTAATAATCTTCCTCAGTGTTTTTACGGCTGCTAAAAGTACTCGTGTTGGAAAACATGTTTAAATTTTAACCATATTAAATCACGACAGACATAAACGTAAGGCAAGGGGCAACGTGGGCATTTTGACGATGGTTTCCGGTACGTGTCCGCCTACAGTTTCTAGGCAATCTTGCTCAGGGGTCATTCCGCTCGCAGTTTTATATTTCTCGCGCGGTTTGCGCTACAGTAAACATAATAAAACGGACGGTTGCAAATAGGGTTCAAACAAAAAAAGGGAATTTCGTGCTGAGAATATTTTTAAGTATACGCGAGACTCGCGCTGCGGCATAAACTTTTATTGTAAAATATGTTAATATTACAAGAGTTTGCAAATTATCCCGGATCTATATTACACCACATCTTAACATTTTTTATTTCATTATGTTTATTAATTTAAAAATCCATTTTCTTTCGTTTTATAAATATTACAATTTACACTTATCATCACAATAGTGATGGCTGCCCATTTCGCTCTTTTTTCTTAAACTCAACCGAACGAACGTTGAAAAAGTCTTTCAAAAATTTTAATTCGTTTCATGGCGAGTCTACTTGTTAGTTATAAACAGCACTTTATAAACGAATCAGTTGGATACGTACTAGATTAATTTTGTTAATGAAAGAGTTATGAACGTGTTTAATTTTAACAGTGTTGTTAAACTTTTTTGATTCATTTTTATTTTGATTTCATTCTTTCCGTGTAAACTAATACACTCGCATTCGAGCTGAGCGTTCATCTTAGATTTTATATTATACAGAATTCATGTCCTTGGATTTATTTATTTTTTAGAGACTGTTTAAATGAGGCCAACGTGCTCTTTATTACATCTTAATTTAAAATTATGATAGCGTAAACGCATTGTGCGTAAAAGATAACTTTGCTATCAAATTATTATATTTAATAACATAATAGCTATTTATGTCATCCTAATATTTATTGTTGTGTGAAATATGATAAAACCTTTTATATGTATATGTTGACTTTTATTATATAACTTTTTCATACAAATAATCTTTTTACTTGTTTAAACAGCTGATTTTCTTAATGAATTATAAAGTGGGAGCAATAAATCTAATTTCTGAAATAACTGCAGTTAAACCTTCTGTAGAAAATAACAAGATGTAATAAAGATAGATTGTCATCTCCTCTATCTACTACATATTTCTCGCAAACTCACCTCCTACATTACGAGTCTATTTATTAACATACCATGTTTGGCCAGATGAATCGTTTTAAAGTTCTTGATTTTGTAAGGGTTTGTAACGCTTTATACGATAGCCTCAGACAGTGTGTCTAAAACAAGTTGTAGTTAAAGCAAGTCAAAGCAACCAATTAACACTCCCTTTAAGAGATGTGATATCTTCTTAATCCTCATCAACATATTGATGCTAAGAAAATTATTTAACCTTCAAATTTGTTGCAATTGATTAGCTCAATTAAATATAGTTCTAAAAGTTGTAGGAATGTCTCGGTTACATTTCCTATCTTTTTGTCTTTTTTATCTCGGATATTATGGGATATTGACTTGTTTTCTTTGATGTCTGGTATAGATGAAACAAAGAAAAATCCTCCAATTATCCAACTGGTCTTCTTTGTGATACTCACAACTCTAGTGCGGAATGAAAAGATTTTTAATACCAACAGTGGAATAAAATCTGGATTAATAGCTTCGTTAGATTATAGAAACGTTTAGATCATCTTGTAGACATTTTGCACCTGCAATGATGTACTGTTTAGACATATTTTAACATACATATAAATTATATAAATATAAATTTATATATATTTTGTAATAAGGTGTATGTAATGTTCAGAAGCTGACTTTGAATTAAATTATGACCAATATGCCGGCATAAAAGAATGACAATCTATAGAGATTGTCTTTAATAAGTGATAGAATGGCCAAAATGATCCTCTAACTCCTTCTTCGCTTTTTAGAATATATACATATATGTTATATCACACACACAAAGCAATGTGCCTAATACAACGATAACAATGGAGAACAGCATTCGAATCATCATGAAGAACATGTTGAATCTGCTACCTCTAAATATTTTTATTAGGTAAAACAGAAGTACTGGTTGGACTACGACCAATATTTTCTATTTCAGGCTTGTACATATAAACTTCAACTACCATCCTCTGTCTCTATTGGATCTTACAGTAGGGTAACCGTAACAGAATGAACTGTTATTAACTTAGCGATTAATGCAATAAACGACCTTAAACAACTCGGTAGATACTCTAATGGATATATCATCAACCGGAAAGGAACTTATTATCGCAAAAGCAAGTACTACGAACGTTCACAACACTTGGAACTGTAATTCTTTGCTTAATAAATCCTTTATATCCCAGGTTCTTGGAAAATATCTTTTCTGAATTGCTGGATAATTTACATCGACTTATACCAGAAATATGAAAGATTGAATTGGTAATTTCACATTCTACACAAAATACCTGAACGTTCTGAACCTTTATCCGAACTCATGAGCCTAAACCTGTAGCAGTTTTTATGCAAAGTTTTACTCTCTAATAACCAGCTTGCAAATTCAATGATAGTGAACAAATCACTGCAAATTATAGACGTAATGCTTGAAAAGGTTTACAAGAATTAAATGATAGATCAATTTATTAATAATAACCACCTCGTGGCTTGTTTTTATGATCACTATTTGTCGTTGATATCGAAATATTTCGGAATTGTGCATGTATATTTAAATCAATAACACTTATTCGATTAACACTTATTCATTTTAGATATAATTGCCGTTTAAATATAGGAGAGTTAGAAGTAAAATTTAAATTGCTTTTAATATAGAACTTTATTATTCAAGAAGGCACATATTCCAAGCGACAATTTTTTTTCATATGATTGTTTATTAGACCGACACACAGACGTTCCATTCGTCTCTGCAAAAACCTGAAGCACATTGGCAACGTAGAACTGGTACGAGCGTTTGAATTGGGCAACCTACTGTTCCACATACGGTATCACACACTGTTCCATTTGCATACACTTCATTCTGGTTTGTACAGCAAGTATCTGGATATCAAATTATTTGTTAAGTATAGCTACCAAATAGATCTAAATTAACTTACCAGCTGAGCAGAGGTAAACGAAAGCGAAGATCGCAACTAAAGCTGCCAAGAATTTCATTGTACTGTATTAATTTGAATACGTATGATTCTCAAAAAGTGTTCACTTCTTATATACCATGTAGATAACGATTAGATTAGACTAACATGATGTGTAACACTATGATTAATGGATATATTTATTTTTGTCTAAATAAGAACCTTGTAAAATAATTGTCTTATTGTTTACTTTCAAATAATCACATATTTATTAGCTATTGTTAAAAATTATACAAAAAAACCTAGTATTTACACATCAATAAAATAATAAAAATGTAAGTTTTTCTTGATATAAAAGAGAGAATATTTCCTGAGGTTATCATACGTATTAAAACGTGCACTAGGTGATAATCTACCTATTTACAATGAAATTCTTAGCAGTATTTTTTGGTTTGTTGGTTATTGCCGTATTCTCTGCGAATGGTAAAAAGCATTTATTAATTCATTTATTATTTAATTTTTTATTAACACTTTTTTGTTAATTTCAGCGGATACTTGTGTATGCGAAGGGATAAATGAACATTGGGGCTCAGGAAGTGCCTGTGATACCACATGTGCAACGCTCGGTCTATCATGTCCCATTGTAAACATTCTACCTGTCGATAGATGCTATTGCGACAGTGGGTATGCAAGAAGTAGCAAAGGAGAATGCGTTCTCATCGCTGATTGCTATTAAGAATACAACGGAAAGTGTTTACCTTACTTTGAAAATAATATATAATAAACAATGAAATGCGCAAACGAAACGATTTTTATTTTTTTCTCCTATACATAAATGTAAATTCTATTAACATTTTTTATTACATTATATATTTAGATGCATCTGGTGTGGTCTTCGACATTGCGGGAATTTAAAATCGGTGGAATTATAAATAATCCAGTAATATCGATTTTTCGAAAAGAACAACTACATATCACATAAATTAATAATATTTTATTTGTTAAACGTTTCGGCATATTCAAACATTCTTCATGAAAGCATGTACAATGATCACTTGTGTACTGCGCTGTTAATTAATTATTGTAATTAAAGTTATTGATATAATTTGTTTATTGTGATACTTATCCGATGGCTGAACAAAACCAAAAGTAAGTAACTGATTTATTTGGTGACTAAATAAAACGTTTTTGTGTTCTTCGTTAGTGAAATTTCGACATACCTTTTACATTTTTTCCTTAGTAGATAAGGATTCGTCTGTGTAGCGAATCGGGCAACCAAGAACTGCTGTAGAATTATGCCTCGGCGTAGTTAGGATTAACGATACTCCGTTATTTTATTACACCGAAGACGCCGAGGCTTAATTAAGGCGGAAAGTATTATATCACTTCATTAAGCCAAGGTCACTTTAAGACGAAACGCGGACACGTAAAGACCGATAAGAAAAGTAGGACTGGAACCAAGATACACAAGAAGAGGTAAAACCAATAACAGAAATAGAGATTGAGTGTTTTAGCAGAAAGCCTAGTTAACAGGAGGACATGGTCCACAGAATCAAAGGCTTTACTAAAATCAAGTAACACTAGCAAGGTAACACAACGGTTATCACACGCAGATCTAATATCATCGGTGATCTTAGTCAGTGCTGTAGTAGTACCATGCCCTTCACGAAAACCAGACTGGAACTTGTTAATCAGATTAAACTCCTCAAGATATTTCTGAATCTGCAAATAAGCTAAACGTTCAATAGCTGTTAACCACGTAGATAGAATAGAAATGGGTCGAAACTCACCAAGATGGGACGGAGGTTTAATTTTTGGGATAGGAATAACATAGGCGATTCGCCAGATTGAGGAAAATATAAACTGATTAGTGATGCTCCGACACTAGTGGACTTGGAGTAAATTAAAGCATCCCGGACTTCAGCATCTGTAACCAAGCTGAATGAAAAGGAAACCAAAGCGATGGTAGATGTAAGGATTTCATTAATAGTATTCTGCCTAGCTATGTTACCAACTACTATAGGAGTATCCGCAAATATGTATATTATATGCCTATGCAATATTAAACAAGAACCGGGCCCCTGTAGGTGCAGGGCCCTGAGGCGCGCGCCTCAAGCGAATACTGGTTAATCCAGCCCTGACTGCAAGTGACTTCTTCTTAACAAAATAATTAAGCTGACGTCGCTTGCTACCCAAAGATTAAAGTAGTTAATATGGTAGCAATTTCTAATTCAAAACCTCCTACCCAACGCCATCATCATCTAACAAGAACAACATGATAATAAACATTACAACACTTCTAAACTTCAATGCCAATGGAATTAAACATGATAGACATCACTCCACACTAGACAATATTAAGGAATGATCGCAAAGCCAACAAAGCATCCAGTGTTAACGCATTGATTTTAGAAAGGTGTGTAAAGTAATCGAAATGGAACTAGAAAATATTGAACTTGCTTCCACAAAAGTAAAATTCAATTATAACAGGTATATCACCATCGCCGCGGTATACAAACAACTGAGCAAAGTCCTACTTAAAGAAGATATCGAACTTCTCACAAATCCACAGGAGACAATTGTAGTCATAGGAGATATCAACGCTAAACATGCTCACTGGAACTAAATGTTCATGTCGACGTACCTGAAAAACCTACATATTTTCCATTCACCATTACTGAAATGAGTTCGGATAATTTCTAAAAATCTTATGAGAAAATGTAATTAATCCTAATATCACCGAGAATAATATTAACTACCGAGTTGATGAAGAAACTTCTACTGGTTTTTGTGAATTTACTTGAACACCAAATTAACATATAAAGACGAGATCTAACGAGATCTTCTCTACCATCTCGAGCCTCCAAGGGAGTATGCACAAGGAGCCCACTGGGGCCTAAGTGCGCGTAGAAATTACGCACCCCTATACATACATACATACATACATATAAAGACTAAGCTTATTGACGCACATCAAAGGCTATTCGAACAGTACACTCATAAACAATAATGTACAAATATTTTATATAAATCTTTGCTTAGAGCAATCTTCACTGCGTATGTGATGTGATGTCTACGGCAACACATTCAAAACCAATCTAACAAAATTACAACCATGTCAAAATGAAGTATTTTGCACTACACAGTAAAAAATAATTACATGGTCCAGTACTAGTAATTTATTGCCATGGATATTCATGTAAAATGTTACACGTATGTAATAGCAACATAAATACATATCTAAACAAGCGCATTTTCCATTTCTATGTTTGTACTTTTCGTCTCTGATTGATGTAATTTTATTTCTTAACCCAGATAATGTACAAGTGTTAACACTTAAAAATGACTATATTTATATGTAAAACTACTTATGCTATGAATATTGTAGTTCGTCTGCTATGTAATAATTCATTATTCAACCCTGTACATTTACATAATTTTAAGCTTAAGTAAATGTAAAAATAGTTTTATGTCCAAATTATGAAAGCCAATAGTTTTTCCACCATTGTTATAATGTTTTACAATACAAAAACATTAAAAGAATAGTGGAAAAAGTGTAATCTTTTACAATTTTGACAAACGGCAAACTTGGAACACAAAAACTTTGTGTACAACCTGTATACGTACTAAAGGGCACAAAACAACCAAACACTAAATGGACAGATTAAAGTGGTTTATTATTATTATTATTATAAGAGATCGCGTATAACGTTCGACGATTCATACGTTATTAGACTGTACTTGGCACGATGATGTCAACGCGTTGTGCGTAGTTGCAACGCTATTCGGCCGACTGAACGCAGAAAGTGGTGGTGGGGCCATCCCGTATTTTACACGTTCGTAATAGTAATTTTTAACAATATTACATGATTTCCCAATTTATTCGAGTTTTCGGGGTAAGCGAGACAGACAATGAGAACACCGAACAAGTTGTATTAGATATTATTAATAAGAAAATGAACCTCGCATTGTTACCGGATTCTATCGATCGTTGTCATCGAGTTGGACCGAAGCGAAATGGAAAGAACCGACCTATTATTATGAAATTTATAAGTCACAAGACCAAAGATCGCGTATTTTATCATAAGAAACTGTTAAGAGGAACTCAGTTTATAATTCGAGAAGACCTTACGCACCACCGGATTTGCGAATTGAGAAAACTGGAGGAAGAATATGGTAAAAGAAGAGTGTGGAGCCGTGAT